GCAAATAAGTAATTTTATATCCATGTATTAGTAATATAAAGTTGAAAATTGCTATATACACATGTATAAGTAATATTATATAATAATATTACGTAATAAAGTGTAGCGTCTACAAGTACAGTACGAAAATTCAAATTTTGTGTCAATATGAGACCATGATAACCAACAAATATAACCACTTTAGATCAAAAACTAAATTCTTAAATATAAAAATACATACACACCTGCTCAAAATAATAGTTACACGATAAAACTTAGTTTTCTCAACAGTTTATATGATAATATGGCATCGCCTTTTCTAAGAGAATGAAGCATGTGATTCCCCGAATTAATGCGTGTATTAGTTTTGCCTGAACTCTCAGAAAAAAAATTGCTCAATATAATAGTTACACATAAGTGAACTTAGCTTTTTCTGAAGACAAAATTAATTTTATCCAGTTTTTCAAGATTTTTTTTATCTAAATTGGTGAGTTTTTTTTTCATTAAAGCTCAAAATGCTTCAGAGCGAAAATATAGTAGGGAGACCCGTGGAAGGCCACAAAAAACGAGTACAGTTCTTGATCGCCACATTGTAACTATTTGTAAAAAGGAAAAGTTCGCAGGCGTTTGCAAAAGGCCAAGCTACCAAGACGTATAGCCAGGAAAGTTCCATTAATGCTATCAAAAAATTTAGATATGAGGTTAAATTTTGTAAGAAGTTATTTAGATTGGTGAGGACCTGAGGGAGCAAAAAAGTGGAGAAACATCTTATGGAGCGTTGAAACGAAAGTAAATTTGTTTGGAAACGATTGTGATAGAAACGTGCGTCGTCCAAAAGGAAAATATTTTCACGTTCGATTCAGAAAATACTCTTTCTGCGTTGGCGGCCTTCGGCCGCGCTTTAAAAAAATAACCCTGATCGAGCGAATACCCGGGGTGACTGAAGTACTTTCGCGTAGTCCTTTCTGCGTTAAATCAAAAAAAAATTATATTGAGTTTTTGTCATAAAGTGGTTAAAGTATTTATATTTTTTTGGTTATCATGCACTCATATTGAAACAAAATTTGAGTTTCCTTATAAAATGGATAAATTTTAGTTATTATATCTGTCAGCGATTTCCATTTATTTTCCATGATGCATTGTTTTGTATTTTAGGTGACGATACATATATTTTTATATATAAAATTTGAGTGTTGTTTAAAGTAGTTATATTTTTTGGTTAAATGTACTCATATTGAAACAAATTTTGAGTTTTCGTACTGCACTTGTATACTTTACACTTAATTACGTATATACGCCAAAGAAACCGAAATTGTGCCTACTATCGCCATATTGACACATTGGTGTGGTGATTTCTTTACAATTTAAAATACATTTTTACGAACCTTTTGGCCAATCTAAAATATAAGACTTATTTTTCGAAGTTGAAGGAAAAATTGAAGTATGTAGCGTATACAAAAATTATGTTGATTTTCACACTTGATCAAGTTTTTGCACCTTTAACTGGTGCAGTAAATTACAGTGCAAAAAACCTTCCAAAAAAATAGTTTTTTCATACAAAACACAATATCAGGACCAATTAAAAAAAGCAGTGAGAAAACAATTAAAATATTGCGGATTTATATATGTATTATTGGTAAAAGAAACAATCAAAAAGTATTTTTGGACTGATAAAAAAAAGATAGCAAACATCAAAATCTATGTAAATATGTTACGTTTATGTTTTAAAAAAAACATCCATCATTAATCGTTGCAGCAATGATCCCATGATACAGTGGTTGAGTAAATGAAGTCGTATTTTGAGGAAGAAACATTAACATCGATGAGCATCAAACCATTGAACGCTGATACTGTCTCACTTCAGACCTTTATTTGAATACTTATTCGAATAGACAAAGATACCTCGTATTACAAAAAAAAATTTGAAATTGAATCATATCTGTGTTTACGTATGGAATTTAGATTTTATTGCAAAAAAGTATATAATTAAAATTAAAAACAGGCATAAACAAGTAAGGAAAGGCTAAGTTCCGAACATTTTATACTCTCGCATCAAATACCGTATTTGTGTAAAGTTTTATTCCGCTATCATCATTGGTTCCTAATGTATATATTATACAGAGAAGGCATCAGATGKAATTCAAAATAGCGTTATATTGGAAAAAGGCGTGGTTGTGAACCGATTTTACCCATATTTCGTACATGTCATCAGGGTGTTAAGAAACTATTATGTACCGAATTTCATTGAAATCGGTTGAGTACTTCCTGAGATATGGTTTTTGATCTATA